CACAACTTTCTTTCTATTTCGATATGAAATCATATTTTTATTTGAAAATGTCCAGCAGTCTTTAGCATATGGAAAAAGGCATCAACACAGGCTAGAAATTCTTAGCAATACTGATGCCATTTTTTAAATAATTCCGAGGCAGAAATGAGTCTTTGTTGCTTCCTGCTATTTCCAGGATTGCAATTACTCCGAAAGTTCTAATGGGGTGAGTTGACAACGACAACCTCCCTCGGGAAAAGATTTGGAAGATGTAATTGGAGATGGGGGATGACCATATGAACGGAAATCTCTTGTTACATTCATGTCACATCATCGAATTCTTTTTAATTAAATGAAAAATAAAAATTTTATTAAATATTTATGAAAAAAGTAAAATTTTTAAAAGCAATTTTTTCTTTTAAATATTTTCAGATAAAATGATAAAAAAAAACCTATATATTGTCAAAATTTTTGAAAGATTACCATAACTTCCATAAAAATCTCATGAAAAAAATTTATTCTTTTACAATTTCAACCTAACATATTTTAACAAAGTTCCGTCAAACAATTAGTACTCATCAATTTTTCTGTAACATACAATTGAATAAATAGTAATTGAGAGAGTTCAAAATAAATAAATTAACAAAAAAAAATCTGTGAAAGAAAAGTGAAACTTTAAAATCATGGGAAAGTAGAATCAAATAGTATTAAAAACCCAATGAAAATTTTTTTAAAAAAATCACATCTGGATAAAGAAATTCAAGTAAAAATGACTAGCAAAGTTCGGTGAGCTTTTAATTTTTAATAATATTGCATTGTTGAAGTGTTATTTTTTTATCATTTACTTTTTGAAAAATTTTCAATAGTTCATTGTTTTTATATTTGATCCAAACATTTTATTTGTATTATTTGTAATTTTATTTTATTTTTTGGTTCAATACATGGTAAAAGGAAAAGAATCTCATGGAAAAAAATATTTAAATTCACAAAAACTAAACAAAAACTAGTGTTTTCCATTCTGTGAAATCATATGAATTTGCGAGGCAAAAAGGAGCATTCCTGCTATTACTCCGAAAGCTCAAATGGGGTGAGTTGACAACGACGTCCTCCCTCGGGAAAAGAATTGGAAGATGTAATTGGAGACAAAAGCTCTTTTGTGAGGAAGGAGCAAAAGGCCGGAAGGGACGCAGGCAATTTCCGATCATGCCGACGCAGCCCGAGTGCACGCGTTTACATCATCTGAACTATGTTTGATTGACCCGGCAACGGCCAAAGTCAATAACTCTATGTGAGGAGTCAGGACCAAAATTTTCTTAGCGTTTAAGTTTTTATTACTTCCAACAAGACATCTATGATGATGAAATTCATACCTACTCGTTCTTTTTTAGTTCTATAAATGTCTATTAACGGCCAAAAATCAGCTAGTAATTTTTTTCCCTTCCTTTTTTGTTCTTTATGTGCAGATATAGAAGCAAGGATTAAATCAGTAAAATTGCAAATTCAAACAATCTGAAGACACCGGTGTGCAAGAGCGCTTCGCAATTGAACTGAACTGTAGCTACAATGATGCTTCCCAGGGACGCAAAGAAGCAGGTGGAGGAACTCTTTGATTTGATGTACTTGGAGGAGCGAGTTTGCTTAGAGGTTGAAGAGGCCAAGTCGTTCCACGTGGAATGCTTTGAGGTAAGGAAGCGAGTGAAGCAAATCTCCCTAATGCTGAAGACATTGACCTGCTTCATCACCTCTGATCAAACTTCCATTTACCTGCGCCCAATCAACTGCATAGTTGCCAAGGTGAAGGATAACTTTGAGCTCGCACTTGCCATTGTGTCCAAGTGCAAGTCCAGGAGCCTACTCAGCAGTCTCTTCACCATCCTTAATGCCACCCGTTTTCGCGGGCTCTCCGACCTTTTGGATGCTTCTATCAGCGATATGGAATGGCTGGTTGCCGTCTATGACCGCCGAAACGAAGTCACAGGCCCAATGACCAAGAATGGTTCGACTACCTTATTGGTCTGGTCTTGCATCGCCACCGTCGAAATGGGGCGTCAATTAGAAGATCGTGTCCAGGCTGCGATATATCTTGGTTCACTTGCTCAAGAAAAAGACGAGTACAAAAACATTATTTTTTAAGAAGGCGGGGTTACCTCCTTTACTGGAGCTTTTTTGAAAGAGAACTCCTCTCTAGAAGCTCAGATCACGGCTGCTAAAGCACTTTGTCTTTTAGCTAATGAGCAGGAGAGGACGAGAATTATTATGAAGGAAATGATATCTACGGTTGTAAATTGTTTATCAAGAACATCGCCGACGAGGGATCAAATTCAGGCGGCGAATTTGGTTGCCAAAATAGCGGAGGATAACCCAGAGGTGAAGGAATACGATTTGATTAGAGAGAATGTAATATGGCGGCTGGTAACGTTGTTGTCATCTGAGCCATCTGCAGATGGTCCTAAAACCAATTTACATAATCTCGAATTGAAAATCATTTGTTCGAAGGCTTTATGGGTGCTTGCTGAGGGCAGTGTTTCGAATTGTAGGGCATTAATGGAGACAAAGGGAATGCTTTGCTTGGCTAGGTTGGTGGAAACGGAACAGGATGAATTACAGTACAATTGCTTGATGATCATAAGGGAAATTACATCTATTGCTGAATCAAATCAAGAATTCAGACATTCGGCGTTTAAGACTAATTCTCCAGCTGCAATGACTGTTGTTAATCAGCTATTGGGAGTGATTGAAGAATTTGATGACAAAAAATTGAGAATTCCGGCAATCAAATCGATGGGTTCATTGGCAAGAACCTTTCCAGCTAAAGAAAGTTGGGTAATCCGTCCCCTGGTTTTCCAGCTCGGCAGTACGGACCAAGAAGTAGCAAAGGAAGCTGCTATTGCTCTGCAAAAGTATGTATGTCCAGGGAATGCCCTTGGCATGGAGCATTCGCAATCGATAGTTGAATTCGACGGTGTCCCGCTTTTAATGAAGTTACTTGATGGCGATAAAGAGTCACAGCATCATGGATTAGCTCTGATCTGCTACCTCACGAAGCACGACATCAACAGCAGTGTTTTGATTGAAGCTGGAGCATTGACTGCTCTGGAGACGATAGGTGCCAAAGATCCCGAGGTAGAAGAATTGGTCTCCAACGCAATATCCAAACTCAAATCGAATCAAACCGGTAAGCATGAAAATTTAGACAGTTCAGCAAAAGCTAGCATTACACAGACAATCGTAGAACAGAGCAAAGAAGCACTCAATTATCTGCGACAACGCTCGGAGATACTGTGGGAGGGGCTAACAGTATTTGCACAAAAGCCAGAAGAACTCTACAAGGGAGATACAGGCCTAGTTAATTTTAGGATTAGAACGGGGGACGCTAAGCCTCTTATAAGCCTTAACATTAAGCCTGTTAGTCCGCATTGCTAAAATTGATTTTTTTTTTAATCTCAATTTTAATGAATTTAACGTTATATCTTTATTAATAATCGATTTAAGATATCAGGATAATGAAAAGATTATTTTTAATTTATATGAGGTGATATTTTGACGATGACCCATCATGTTAATGTGGATTAAATTATTGATTTCTTGATCCTCAATTTAAAAACATTTTGAAAATCAATACAAAAATAATTTCTTTTAATAGCACCTTAAATTAGCAAAATACATGTGATATAAGTTAAAAGAACATTAGTCTTCTCTGAAAAGTTTCATTTCCTGAGTGCCCAACTGACGACCATCTAAGGCTGGCTTCACCATTGTAAAACTACTAGCAAGAGGGAAACCAAGGAAATAATCAAGAACATCAAAATCATTCCTTGATAATAATTGCTCCAAACAATGCCGAAATGTCATCTATGGAGGAAGAGTTTATCAAGTTTCTGAAGCACTATCTTCGGCTACATTCAAAGCCCACAATGTTGTGATGTTGGAGAGTAGCTAACGTAATGAGAACTAAAATACATTGCTGTGAGGATGTAGAAACCAAGGAACTAAAAACCAGCAAATGCCAATAACACCATATTAATAGAGTCCAGCCGGGCGCCTATAGAAAAATGAAAACATCTAATGCCCACGGGTCATCTTCATTCTTGGCATTGCCTTCTTCATCTGACGAGCACGATCTTTTGCTTCTTTCTTGCGAACTGCTTCTGCACTGAGCTTTGCCTCAGCCTCCTCTAACATTTTTTTCCTCTCTGCCTTCTTTTTCTGCAAGGCTTCTTGCCTAGCATTTTGAAGTTCTTTGTATGCCTCTTGAGCAGCCTTCACTCTAGCCGCTTCAGTTTTTGATCGAGCCTGCAATAAGAAAAAAAGAAAAAACAAAACAATTTTAAGAATATTATGAAATTGACATATTGTATAATTTGTTAGCATAAAGAAAAAAAATTGATAGCATAAAGAAACTTCCAGCTAACCTACCTGTGAGCTGAGCTTGAATCGGCCAATTAAATCAATGTAGTATGGTACAAGAGCCACCCAGCGAGTCATGTCAGCCATGTGGTTGGCATCAGGGAGACCAAACTTGAACAAGAGCATCTTCTTGTGTGTGCCAGGATGTTGGTCTGAAAAATGCATCGAAATGAAATCCTTTCCGTATTTCTCAAAAGCTCTGTCACCAAAAACCTGCAGGTTATCAGTAACAATTGATTAAGCACATGTTAAAAAACAACAGGTAGAGCTGTCAAGCAAAGTTAAAGCAAACCTTAGTAGAGCAAATATAAGGTAAAAGCATAATCATCAATGGGCCCAAGAAGGTAGTATTAACCACAAAATGCACTAGACACCATGGTCATATCATCTTCAGTAAACTTGAATGTAAAGATAATGGATGCATGGAAAATCTCTAAGGCAAACTCTGTTAAAAGTTCCCAACCATCCATTCCACAATCAAGAAAACTCCTGCTTCTAACTGCCATCGAGTCCATGAACCAAAAAGAAGGGAGGAAAGAAGGGGCATTGACCCTGCAAAACTAGGAAACTAACATAGAAGAAATCCTTGATAAACTCTTGTCACAAAAAGTTCTTTAATTATAAAATGAAATCACCAGCAAATTAAGCACCAACATGTCATTTAGCTACTAATGTAACAATGTTCTCTCAGTTCCATCCTGCTAACAGAAGTACATGTTTGAAGACTCATTAAAGTGACTGTTCATCATCTGCCCCCTCAAAACATAAAATCACATGACAATCATATCAGTTGGTTCCCACTTACCATGAACTAGTGCACGCAATCCCACTTAGGTTCTTTTAATACGCACAAAGGACTCCCATCCACACATAGGAATGACAAAGTAACAACCAAAAAGGTTATGAATTCCATTGATCAAAATAGGCTAATAAACCTGCCAACTCAAACTAGGTGTTCATACAAATTTACTTTAAGCTTAAAGATATGCCCTTAAACATTCTGCACTTATCACAAAATCAGGTATTATTCATGGCAGTGCTGACTTCTTGGAAAAATAGCCAACTTATTTTTCCTATGCTCGCCTCTAAATCTGATATCTGCTAATCTGCTAAAGTACCCTGATGCTAATACAAAGGATCCTACAGCACTAAAGAATCACAGTGACTAAGTACAACAAGCAACCCCGTGCAAGCACAGAGAAGATTATTTCAAAACATAAAGATATAACAGATGAAAAGCCATAATCCACTCTACCACTTTCAATTGCTAAAAATCTCATCATCCAACATCACAGAATTAAAAACATAACAATTTAACTGTCACAAACAAGCAGCAACTACACTACTGCATTAGTTCCCCAAAAGATGCACTTTCTTTACCATCAACCAAATCTCATAGTTCAAACAAATCATAATAAATCCAATCATGCAACAAATTAACATAAAAAAGATTTCATTAAATCAAATCAAGATCTAAAACAGAAGTCAAAGGCTTGATCAACCAACCCACCTGCTCAAGTACGGCCTCTGTGATCAAATCCCCAGCAACCTCCTTCGATTCAGAGATCACCGAAAGTTCCTCCGCCACCCATTTCCTTCCACTAGGATTCGCCACCAACCCAGCAAACCTCTGCAAATCTCTAACCTCTTTTTGCATCCCTTTTGCCGCCTTCTTCTTTGCCACCGCGAAAACCACCTGGTCCATCGCTTCCTCATTCATATAAACCTCAAAACTAATCTCATCCTTACACGGGACCACCAAATTAAACAATCTCGATATCAAATCGTGCCTGCTCTTCAACTCCATCGTTGCCAACAACCCCTGGCAGTATCTTCGTCCACTGGCATAGAATTTGAACACGGTTTGCCCTTCTTTTAACAGTAACGGCGAGTCCTCCCCTTCTCCCACACCCAAAAGACTGAAATTTTTCTCAAAGATTGAACCTTTTGTCGCAAATTTCGCTGCCCATGCCAACGCAAGGTTCTCGTTTTCACGTTTACCAGTGAAGTAGTTGATTACAAAGGCAATCAAGAAAGCCCCGCAAATAATCTCCACCGTAAAGGACTTCTTCGAAACAGCAGTTTTTGGGGGTTTCGAGGTTGTCTTTGGATCTGCATCATCGGGAGTGGCATTTTCAGTAACTTTTGGAGGTTCAGGTGGCGGTTGTTCAACAGGTAAGCCCTCGAATTCATCCTCATCCCAGTACTCGAAAGTGGTGGTGGATGGCTTCTGAAGATCCGATTGGGGCGGAGAATCCGAAGTGGGAACCGGGTTCGGATCGGGATTGAACTGGGTTTCGGGATCTGGGGTGGGATGTGAGTCGGACTGAGTTAAAGGAGGCGGTCGGATCTCGTGGTGGTCTAAGGGTTCTTCGTCGACAGCGTCATCGTCCTCGGCATCAAATCCTTCGAAGTGGGAATCAGCTAGGACATGAGAGAAAGATAGATGGGTGATGAAAAGACACAGGAGAAAAAGCCAGTGGAACAAAGAAAAGGATTTGCCTTTGTTCATTTTGGCGTGGTTTGTTTTTTTCCTTCTTTCCCCTTATTTTCAGAGGGAAACGAGCATACTTGATACCTGTGCTTGCGGTGGGCCGAGGAACGAAGACTAACGGTGAAGGTATTATTAATGGAAGACGGCTGATAAAAGATCATCCAATCTTAGCTATCCACGCACTCGGATAAACCATCCTAACCGTACTTTTGTGATGTTTGCCTCTCCCTACTAAACACCTGCAGCAAAAAAGATTATGCAATAAATACCAAGCATTACTTTGATTTTACTTAGTAGAAGCAATTTTTTTTAATTAATAAAAGAAATTCGACTTTTTTTAAGAAAAAGCAAGAAATTCGCCTTTTGCATATTACATTTACATGAACTTTTGACTTGAAAAATTAATTCTTTTCTATTATATATTTCTTCTCCTTAAGTTAATGTCATAAGTTTATACTTTTAATTTAAAAGATATGTTTGTTAAGTGAAATATGATGTTTTGTATTACTCTTCCATTCATATTGTTTCGAGTCTAATTTGATTATAGTAAATTTAAACTTATTTCAACTTTAATATTTTTTATAAAAAATCTCATATTATGAATAGTTAAATAAATTCTGATATTATTTGTTACAAGTTTACATTTTTAATTCAAAAAATCTATATTTATAAGTCTAAAATTCATCTCTTTTCTTATTTATGTTAAATATGTGACATTAATGAGTGTTCATAAGACTATTAAAAAAAACGTCAATGTTTTCATTTTTTTTAATTTACTTTTTTCATTAAATTTAAAAGAGTATTATAATTACAATGCATTAATAACAATTTTCTAAACAAATAAACAACTTGATCAATATAAATCGATAGACACAAATTAAAACTTTCTTCTCTTTCTTTTTTGCCAAGTGTTGGAGATTAGAAAATAGAAACCAAGAATCAACACAAAAAGCTTGTTGCCAATCTGACCATGCGGATTTAAGCCTTCTGAATCCAAAGCTAAATCGAGTTACAATCTTGAATGACTGTAACAACAAGTACTTGCAGCCATTGATAATTCCATTTAAACTAGCTTGAGTTGAACAACTTTTAACTCAATTATTTATCTTCAATTTTTCTTCTATTTAGACTACTGTATAGAAGGGATTCTTTTAAGACAGAGAGATACGGTGTTACACCAAGTAAAATAAGATGCTGAAGTTGATGAAAAGAAAAATTAAAGCAATTCCTCAAGTATTAGTGTTTTAACATGCCAAACATTTTTCAAAGATCAAAGCAAAAAATAAGGAATCCTGCTGAAGCACTGCCCTAGAACATCATCAGGGGGCAAGTCTTCGAGGGACACGAGGGAAAAGTGAAGTTTTGCGAATGTTATCCAGGCCACAGAACAGCATCACCATACGCTCAAGTCCAGCCCCTAAGCCACCATGAGGACCAGCCGGACCATATCTGATAGAATCAATATAGGTTGATATTGATATTGTATTGACATCAATTCCACATGCCTGTGCACGTTCTTCCAACATCTCTGGTACATGGGCACGCTGGGCTTCTGAAATTATCTCCTCCCTCTCGAATGAAGACATCAAATGATTTACTATAAAGGGAATTATTGAAGCAAGGCATGGTGTAGAATGGCCTTACAGCCAAAGGATAGCGATGCAGAATATAGAATTCAGTACCATACTTCTCCAAAACTAGCTGACCCAATTTTCTCTCCGCTTCTGTATTTAAGTCCCCAAGAGGATCAACTTACGTACCAGCATCCTTCAGCATCTGAACTCCTTCTTCAAATGTAAGTCGCAGGGTTTTTGGCTTGTACTTCAAAGGTTCAAAGGGATACTGCCTCCCCACAGCTTCAAGTTCCTTCTCACACCTTTCATTCAAACTATCAAATATTGTAACAAATAATCGGCCCACAAGGTCCATCACCTCAGAGTAGTGCTTCTTAATGCTCATTTCAACATCAAGATCCGTAAACTCACACAAATGCCAATGAGTGTAGGAATGCTCAGCTCTTAAAACAGGCCGATCTGGAAAACCCGTCCTTGTTCACTACAGATTGCCATTTGCTTGTGAAGTTGAGGAGACTGGGCCAGACATGCAGGTTGCCCGAAGTAGTCAAGCTTAAAAACAGCAGAACCACCTTCACTAGAGCCTGCTGTCAGTTTCGGGGTGCAGATTTCAACAAAACCCTCAGATAGCAATAACTGCCTGAATATCTGCAGAATTTTTCAACTTGTTTGAGAAGCCATCTGCAAAGTTTAGCAATAAGATGCATGTGGGAATTAAAGTTAGCAAATAATAATAAGCTTCAGCAATTGGAGACCACATAACGTAGGGTGGATGAAATTAAATCAACTATCACATAGTGAAACCACTCTCAGAGTTCAACTTGAAGGTCTTAAAACTTGAGGGAAATGCATTTCAAAGCATATCCAGACCTATTAAATTAGAAATGTTGCAGACACAATAGCATGCAGCAATTATTGTAGTTATATAATTTTAATAAAGAAAAGGTCATAAGATTAGCAAAGACTTGACGACATACATTTAAAACTTGGCTTCGGATGCGGATAATCCCTTGATTAGCAGAAGTTTGAAGTTCATTAACTCTGTAGTTCAAACGTGTATCCTGATTGACACGAGGAAGTTGCTGTCCAGCCTGTAGTAGATTAAACGATGAATAGGCATATGGTTGAGAATATTAATATGTATAATACATTGAATACCCAAACAAAAAGGCATGAATGCAAAGGGGTATATTACATATACACCATTAACCAAAATCCAAGTAGGGCAAAACAAAAGGAATCATCTGTATAATATATATCACAGCCAAAATTTACAAAGTCTATAGCTAAACAATGCTGTTTAAATAGTGGAAAAAGATTAAAAATTTGTAGATGGCAGCAGCTCTGCCCCTTATTGTTGTAATTGAGCTGGCGTTAATGGCTGATCCACGCTTGCTTGATTAAGGGTAACATCGCCCCCATCTTGATCCGTCCTGGTTCCCCCTCCATCCTCATTTGGCTTCCCCACAAATTTAGAACACAACATACCAAAACCGAATATCATAGGCCAAAAACAGAATTTAATAGTGGCAGCATGATGTCGAGGGTACAAAGAATAATTAATTGTTGTAACGATACACTGAGCTATAGCACAAGCCAATCCAATCATTTCCGCCAGTGTGCCGAAAGGCTTGTTACTTGGAGGAGGTGGATGATAAAACCACGGTATTCTTCCGGTACTACTGCAACTCCATGTGATTTTTTCCTTCCTTCCTCTGCAGACAAGCTCAACAAGGCAAACAAGCATTGATGTGAGGGATATTAACATCACAATGAGAACATAATCCTCCGATGCAATCTGGTCCAAAACAGCTGAAGGAATCTCTAGGAGGAAGTTGGCGAGGGCAAGCTGAGTCCCGAGAGTGTACTGCAGGAAAGGGAAACCAAAAGTAAACATCTTGGAAGAGATGGAATTAACAATTTAGCTTCATAATTACATGCAGTATGATTGTACGTAGGTAACTTTATTTGTTTCGGGTAAGTTTCGACCTTTGCTTCGAAAGTAGATAAACAATCTCTGCGGTGTGCCTGATCATGATGGATGTCGTCGACGGCTCTATTTGCTTCGATCTCAAACTGGTTCTGCTGAATTACAACAAGGTCAGAGCCGGTATTTGCTTCAGCAGCATTTCCTATCAGCATCTGCTGTTCTTCATCTTCTATATGTAGCCTTCGATTGTTTCTTCTGGCAACCATACAACCCAGAAAAGTAAAAAGAAAAAGAGAAATAACAACAAGAAAAAAGAAAGACTTGATCGTCGCTGCTTTTTGTTCTTTGTCCACTTGAGTCGTCACTAAAAAATCTCGGTCACCAAATGTGACGGCCTTCATTCCTGGAAGAGCTTCTCTGTCTGCAATGACCCCCGCCTCTAGAAAAAACCTCGAAAGCTTCGCTAGAAATGCCATGTCGTCCGGCACTGCTTTACTTCTGTTTGCCACTATTAAATAATAATGGAGTCCAGAAAACGCGTTATAACGAAATTTCGTTGCATGTTCAACAGGTAGGAACCTCATGACGCAGCATGCAGGTGATGCATGGCCTGACCGATAAGCCAGTGACACCTCTGTTTCTGTCAATATCATTGTAGTTGTCCCATCATCTTCTCATATTATACTTTAACCTCCCCCGGGCTCGCTGTGTTCTTATATTTTATTTCTTGTTTCCTTAGTTTGTTAGAATTTAATATATAATCAGCTTCAAGTTTTAGGACAATATTCATTGGACTATATATTTAAGAAAACATTTTAAAATTTAAATATAATAATTATGTTTTTTTCTTATCAATTTAAATTATTTAAATAATCATTGTTCAATTTAATATTAATTGTAATCGATTCCAAGTTTTAAGTTTCAATACTATTGGGGGATTAATTATTAAGTGGATCACTTCCTCGTTTACCCAAAATATTCTAAAAGTCAACTATAGTTATTTAACTTAGAATTCAAAACAATACCAGTCAAGGTTGACTTCATTATTATTATTATTATTATTGAGATGCTTAAATATTTGATTTATTGGTACAAAATCTCTCTATATAACAAATAAAATTTGAATCCCATTTTTCTAAATTCAAAAAAAAATTATCATTATTGAAATTTAATCATGTAGGCAAACCACAAAAATTTCAAATTTAAAAATTCAAAGATTTTCTAAATATTGTTTTCTTCATGTATATAAAAAAAAAACATAACCTTTGAGTTTTAAGATCTTATATTTATTATCAATACATTTTTTCCTGAAATTAGTAAAATTTATTATAATTTAGACAGCGTATTTATGAAGAGGACAAAAGTATAGAGTCAAATATTTTATATATATATATAAGCTACTTTTCATTAAATAAATTAGCTAGGAGTCCCTAACCTAAATTTGTTATTTTCATCCATTATTTTTATGATTCACATCTATGGAATATGTAAAGCAAATTCACCTATCATTAATTATTTTTACATTTTAAAACTCTCTCTCTCTCTCTCTCTCTCTCTATATATATATATATATATATATATATCAATGTGTATGTATGTGTTTAAATTATTAGTATAAGATTATTATTCTTTATATTAACAACGAAACTTTAAAAACTCAACAAATAAATTTATATAATTGAGACATATTCATTTAATAATTATATATGAATAATCGATTCAATGCTAAATTTATATCTCTTTACTCAAAGGGTCGAGTGTGCGTTTCTCTACCCAAAATAAAGAAAAAAACATATTGGAGTATTACTATCTAAATCCAAACCAAATTACTTTTCGACCATTTCACCTAAGCTTTCAAGCCTTTTGCCTTGTCTTTAATTAATTTCTTTCTTCAATCGAACCTTGTTTTTCCCACTCTATCGTAATCCTATATGCTTCTTAATTTCATTTAATATTTTTACTTAAAATAAACAACCATTGACTTAGCACTTTTATATCTTAAGATCACCCCATAAAATACTGGTAAAAGTATTCCTAATTGAAGGAATCTCCAGGAGGAAGTTGACAAGGGCAAGCTGAGTCCCAAAGAGTACACTTTAGGAAAGAGAAACCAAAAGTAAACATCTTGGAAGAGATGGAATTAATAGATTTAGCTTCATAATTACATGGTAGTATATATGATAGTAGATAACATTATTTGTGTCGGTTAAGTTTCGACCTTTGTTTCGAGGGTAGATAAACAATCTCTGCGGTGTGCCTGATCATGGTGGACGTCGATGGCTCTGTTTGCTTCGATCTCAAACTTGTTTTGCTGAATTACAGCAAGGTCAGTCTTATAAAATGGAAGACGGCTGATAAAAGATCAACCAATCTTAGCTATCCACGCCCTCGGATAAACCATCGTAATTGTACTTTTATATGAATGCCTGTCTCTACTAAACACCTACAGCAATGAGATTATGCAATAAACACCACGCATAACTTTAATTTTAGTTAGCAGATGCAATAGTTTTTTTATTAAAAAGGAAATTCGTTAAAATATAAACTAATTTTTTTCTTATATTAATGGCACATGTCCATATTTTCAGTTCAAAAGCTATGTTTGTTGAGTCCGAGATGACTTTTTGTAGTGGTTCTTACATTCGTAGGAGGAAGGATTCATATTGGTCTGGACCTAATTTGACTCTGGTGTATCTTGACCTACCTCAACTTTAGTATTTTTCATGTGAGATTCTATATCAATAAATATCTGAAAAGATTCTGAAACTGGTTCTCACGAGTTTACACTTTCAATTCAAAAGACATGATCGTTAAGTGAAAAAAAAAAAAAACCCACTTATAAGTTCAAGATTCATCTATTTTTTCACTCATGTGAGGTGTGTGATATTGGTGGGTACTTGTAAAACTATTGAAGAACAAGGAGGAGGAGGAAAAGAAGACTATTAAATGTTAAAGATAAGGAGACGGTACAAAGGGGAGAAAAAGTACGATTTGAGATAGTACAACAAGGGAAGGATACAGAGCATGAGACTTGTGAGAAGACATAGAGCATGAGAATAGTTGGAAAAGAGAGGACAGGGACCGAATGCTGTGAAGAGAAAGGATTTAAGGCAGGGTTGTCGGTTTCAAATAAGGAAGAAAAAGATTCAAAAGGGTTGAGGAGGCTGGGGAAGAAAGAAGTGGAAGTTGGGTCAAAGTAGTGAAACCCATTAGTGATAAAAGTAAAGTAAGCCATGAAATAAAGAGTATGTGCCCAAGGAGTCATGATGGAAAATAGTTATAAAAGAAAAGGAAAGACCTAGTCCTGAAAGTTATTGCAGCCAAGATGAAGAAAAGACGCAGTGGGGAAATGCAGATCTGGGAAGGGAGACAGATGGGGAAATTAAAGTTAGAGGAAAGATATGCCAAGATAAAGAAAAGGAAGATGACATGAAATGGGTGACACAAGTTTTGCGTAAAAGCAGAAGGGGGAAAGGAAAATTGAAAAAATATTCACAAAAGCTAGTCTTCTAATGCTAATAAGAGTCTTTTATCATCTAGATTCATGACTCTTTTATGGCATACGAGCTGTTGCTCTATCAATAAAATCCACTTTTCAAATAAATAAAAAAAAGATGTTAATGTCTAAACAAATAAACCACTTAATCAGTATAAATTGAGAGACATTAACTAAAACTTTCTCTCTTTGTTTTTTTTTTGCCAAGTGATAGAGATTGGAAAATAGAAATCAAGAATCAATTCAAAAAGCATATTGTTGCCAATCTGACTATGCGGATTGGTGTAGTTATGCTCAAACTGAGAATTTATCTAAAGCTGAAAACGTATGCTCTGATTGCTATGTTAATGTCTTTGGCGGGCTTGCTTAAGAGGGTGGAAGAGGAAGAGTCAGGTGGAGGTGGGGGAAGGGGAAATTCCTTGGTTTAATTTATTGCTAATGTACCTTTCCGGGAACTATCGGATTGATCTGTGCCATTAGAATAATCATTTTGGCTAGTCATCTGCCCTTTTTGAAATTTCTAAAGGGACAATAGTATTTAGTTTTTTTATTACTCAATACTATTTTTTAAATAGTATCATAATTAAAATAATAATAATAATTTCAAAAATTAGTGAATTCGTTATCATCATTAATTATATAAAACTCTAACATAAATAATAAAAATTGTTGACACTTCAATGATATCATCCGATCAATATGGTCCGCCCCTAGTTATTGGTGTCTCTTTATCTTATTTTTTTTTCACATTTCCCAGGATCTATCTCTCCATCTTGACCCGTTCTAATTTGACTCTGTCGTCGTTTGGCTTGACTTAGTTGTCTTACTTATTTAGTTACTATTGTTGTCCAAAATCCAAGTAGGGCAAAAGGAAAGGAATTAATTCCACAGCCAAATTTTGCAAAGTCTAGCTTAACAATGCTGTGTAAATAGTGGAAAAGACTGCAAAAATTTGTAGGTCGCGGCAGCTCTGCCCTTTTTGCTGTAATTAAGCTAGCGTTAATGGCTGATGCACATTTGGTTGATCAAGGGCAACATCGCCCCCATCTTGATCCGTCCTGGCCTCATTTGGCTTCCCCATTAATTTAGAACACAACATACCAAAACCGAATACAATAGGCCAAACAGATATCTTAATAGGGGCTGCATGATCTCGAAGGCAAAAAGAATAATTAATTGTTGTGACAATACACTGAGCTATAGCACACCCCAATCCAATCATTTCCATCAGTGTACCGAAAGGCCTGTTACCTGGAGGAGGATGATAAAACCACGGTATTCTTCCTGTACTACTGCACCTCCATGTGATCTTTTCCCTTCTACCTCTGCTGACGAGCTCGACGAAGCAAACAAGCATTGATGTGAAGGATATCAACATCACAATGTGAACATAAATAGGCTTATTCCCTGATGAAATCTGGTCGAAAACAGCTGAAGGAATCTCTAGAAGGAAGTTGAGGAGGGCAACCTGCGTCCCCAAGTTACACTAGGGGAAAAAGAATCCAATGTAAGCATGTATAATAATTTAGCTTCGTAATTACATGTTTCGGTTACGTTTTCAACCTTTGTCCCGAGGGTAGATAAACAGCCTCTGCAGTGTGCCTTATCATGATGGTCGATGGCTCTGTTTGCTTCGATCTCAAACTGGTTTTGCGGAATTATGACAAGGTCAGTGTCAGTATTTGCTTCAGCAGCACTTCCAATTAGCGTCCCTTCTATATTTCCATCATTACTCGGCAGCCTTGGTTTGTTTCTTCTGGCAACCATACAACCCAGAAAAGTAAAAAGAAAAAGAAAAAAAAGAATAAGCAAATAGACAGACGTGATGGTCGTGGCTTTTCGTTCTGTGTCCATTTGAGTGGTCACTGAAAAATCTCGATCAGCAACCGCGAGGGCATTCGTTTCTAGGAGGGACTCTCTGTCTGTAACGGCCAACGCCTCAAAAACCCTTGAAAGCTTCGGTAGAAATGACATGTCGCTGGTTTAACGGATATCCAGTCAAACGAACAAAGGTTTCAACTGTTAGGAGAACACAAAAAAGAGGACTAACAAAGGGGAAACACCCTTATTTTATATGATTGGCTTCTGAAATACTCCACTTTGATTCTAGAAAACGCGTTATAGGAAATATCCCTGCACTTCTAACACGCTTTGATTCTAGAAAACGCGTTGTAGGAAATATCCCTGCACTTCTAAGTTTCTTCTGATCATTATTTGAACTGTAAAATCTCTTTTTCTTTTCCATCCACAGAAAAGATCCTCATTACCATGCAGATGATGCATTTTTGACCCATAAAGGCAGTGACACCTTCTTACATTAATTATAGTTTACTTTGTGTGTCCTCTATTGCTGATTTCTTGTCTCTGCTATTACATGAACAGACAAGAAACACCAGAAAATAAAACAAGAAATACGCTCTCTCTCTCTCTCTATATATATATGACCTCCAAACATTCTTAAAATCAATTATAGTGACGTATCCCAGATTAACTAAGAACAATTCCATCGAATTACGTTGAAAGAATTGTCATTACCTGGACAATTACTTATAATTTTATTTTTCAGGTATATAAACTTTTGAGTTTTAAGATCTTATATTCAGTATAAATAAAATTTTTTTGACCCTTCATTATTGTTACTACCATTTGGTAAAATATCATTTGTTGAATTTAATTATTTTATTTATGAATAGGTTTACCTGTCATAAATCGATAAATTGCACCCCCAAAAGAAAAAAATATAAGATCAAAATAATATTACTCTTTGGTAAATATAAGATAATTACACTTAGCATAACAAATTTCAACCATATCCAATTGTTAATTATATCTTTGAGAGAAAAAAGAATTTATTTAATTCTTTGTATAAAAAGAAGATTATTCAAAAAACACCGGTCTAGATAGCTAAATACGAAATTAAGATATCAAACATATAAACATTAGTTTCATCGTTCAACTAGGAAAAATTGGTGTTAACTAGCAGCCTCAAAAGAAATGTTTCACATCGTTTTAACCCTAACCACATCTCATTCAACAAGAAGGCTAGTTGTGATTGGCTGATTGTAATATTTTATTTTATTTTTTTGAATAATTTTAAATTTATTGTTACATCGTGTAAATATTATATTTTTACTTGCATCTCAATTAATTTTGTTAATAGATATCATTCAACTGCCCCGGTAGCCCCCGGTGTGAATCCGTAGCTGATAGCAACCTGATGCTTCCTTGGAGAACTGAGTTTGCCCAGCCAACAAACAAAACAAAAAAAAAAAAAATCACTTCCACTTGCTTTCAGATTCAGATAGGCAGCATCAGCAAACAAATTACACAAAAGCATGTCTTTCTTGATGATCTACACCGGTCAAAGCAAGTGATGATTCTGTGTAAAGTCGCACATCAATTTCAGATGAAGATAAAATATGAGTTCAACTTGCTTTAGCTGCGAAGATTCTCATGCATAATGAGGCAACAAAATCATGATGAGAAAGTCATGCGTGGATACATGTGTGTGAGCATGCAGGCGTGCGTGTGCCCAACAAATATGCCACGTACTCTCTAGCTACATTATGAAACTGAAGCATGATCACATACCTGTAGTGCTCAACTATTTGAGAGGTTTGTCTTCTTCTAACAACAAATGGATCATAGACTTGACTACCTCATTGTCTACAATAGTTGCATTCTACGAGAAAAAATTAAAGAAAAAAATGAAAAATAAGTTATGCATCATTACAGGCACAAAGCTTTGCCAAGCGAAGACAATTAACAAATGAGAAACTTTAAAATTATAATTGCGACAGAAAATGGTTAGATAACAAAAAAACATGATTCAAAGAATATGGTTAGATAATAATCACAAGCAATCATACCTCTGGCTTTTTAATCAGCTCCTTCAAAATTGAATGAAGAGCTGATCTAAGTTCCTTACACAAGACAGCAGTTTGAGCTGGCGCTGTCAGCTTCAGCCAACCATCTATTGCAACCAATCCAGACTGTAAAAGAAAAAGTTAATCCCCAACCAAGAAACCACAAACAGACATGGACCATCAGATAAAACAAAAATTTTAGGCAAGATAAAACAGTAGTATTAGGTCCCACAATCAGACCGTGACAAAGTATAAATAACAGGAAATGAATAGCTTCATGTTCTGGCTTGGTTTCTCTTGTTAGGAGTGTCTTGAGCAAGAGTTTGCATTAAGTTGAAAGAATAGAGAATAGTGAAGAGAACAGGTTCATCGCAGAGCATACACAAGGATTCTCGAAAGCTTAAGGTGGTATAACTATAGTTGTCAAAAAGGACTGAGTGATTTTGAGTTGTTAATCATAGATCTTAGAAAGTTAGCAAGCATACTATTAACATTGTAGGATATCAAAGACAGTATAATGGTACTTAAAAAGGGTTTTGATATTCTGAAAGAAATACGTAAGCCAACAGTAGTCAAAGATGAAACAACCCATAAGATGATTACATCAAATTTTAACAGAATAAGCAGAAGAAATTCACATATTTTATGGCTATTAAGGATTAGAGAAAATACCTGATGCTGAATGTTAATTACGCCACCAAACAGCAAAATAGAGAAGGGAGAAATGATGGTAGTATCTCGCAGAAATACCTTGTTGGTTTCAACCTGTAAATGTCAAAATTAGATTGCAATCTAAAGCACATTGGACAAGGAGATTGCTGCCTAACAAGTTTTTCTTTTTCTTCCCATTGATAAACAAAGAAGATTTTTGAAGGAGGAAGGGTAAAAGTGGATCTCACCATTTTTCTTCCATTTTGAGGTTAAGCACAAACATAATCATCATATGGATATCTTAAAAAAGACAAAAGAACGTAAAGAACAACATCCCCCTCTATATCGCGACACATAATTGAAGTCTGGATTAATTTGTTCTTATTTATCAAAAATACTAAAATTGCACAACACCAAGACCATGCGACATGAAGCTGATGAAGTACTAAAACCAATTTCGCATTTCCAAACCTGACTTTGATTTTATTTTTTAAAAAAAAAAATCTGAATCAGATTAAACATGAGAAAACCATCTAAATCAATATTATGAACATATGCCTATTAACATCCAAGAAACTTCTTAGATTGATACTATATATGATAACAAACAACTCCAGTAACTGTGTAAAATTCAGACTATTTTCGTTTTTTTTTTTTAAAGAAAGACCTAATCCTTTTTTTTTTTTTTTAAAGATGAGTTTTTATTAATGATAAGCTGGAATGCCGTGGGGAGTCTTCAACGTTGAGATTTGAAGACTCCTGTTGGCATGGAAGCTATCATGAGAAGAGCCTGTTCTGAACAATTACAAAAGGAGCAGCTGCTCAAGGAGCACTTGGCAGCATCTCAACACGCATAATCTCAAAAACAAGCAGAGTTCTGGATAAATCCCTAATCCTTTACATTAGCCTCCGTTAAGCTAGTTCTAGCTCTGCATAGGAAATGGTCATGCAATGAATTAAATCCATCAATTAGAAGTGTACATACCTTTTCAAGGAAGACTATAAATGAGAGTTGAAAGGCTTTTAAGCTACTGTTGATTGAAGAAGGATGTATATGAACCTCTCGTCTTCCATCATACCAGACTGGATGACCCTTTGATGCAGGACTGTGTTTAAGTCTGCTGAGAGCTACTCCAGTAATGCCCAGCTCAGTGGCAGCCACATTGGGATATAAACCTGCACATAATATTGCCTTCAAAGATAGTATTAGAACTATGTCCGGAATAAGATGCAGTTATGTGGATGTAATCATCCTTTGCTACACAAACCTCACTTAAGTAAAGAATAAGGCTTACAGCACATGATAATGCTCATAAGTCAGGAGATGAATGTGCACACGTACTAAAGGTCCAAAAGGAAAATTAATAACAGCTCAAATCATATTTGGAGGAAATTCAGATATTTCAAGCCGCTTCTCAAAACATCGAATGCACATCAGCTGAAAGGTTGTTCTATATTTATTATGAACTTACAGCTATGTAAACTTACAGGAAAAGTTGTGATTTGGCATCCAAGAAAACAAAACAGAACTTCAGTGATATCTAAAGAGAGGAAAAATGCTAATAATAATAATAATAATAATAAAAGACGCTCCCAGTTTACAATGGCTAGTATAGGTTGGCTCTAACACACACTTGTAGAGAAGATATGACTTCAATTGGGACAAATATATATGCATAACTGAACATATAATAGCCCCATCACAACTAAAAGATATTTAAATCAAAGAGGTACAGTATAAATGAGACTAGGAGACCATAGTCTGTCCACAAAGTACAAAACTTGCTCATAAAGTTCTGAATGGATGACATATCATCAAGACAAATGAAGTGAATAACGACAAAAACATGACCTCTGCCAAACATAAGACATATGCAAAACTGCAAAAGTGGCACTAAAATAAAATTAATTCACAAGCAAATAGACACAAAATGAGCAAATATATTTATAATTACCTTCACAACTGCAGAATGATGTGAATGCATATTGAATGGTTGTGAGTAATCAGAAAACCACATATCAAGATTTTCCTTCTTTTTAGCCCCAATCTGTAATATGAGAAGGACAGAGCATATACTGCTTCAAATGGTATAACAGTCATGCGTAAATCAATTGAATCAAAGAAGCATACCTGATAATTCTTTGGAAGATTGATGAATCCTATATCTGCTAACAGCGTTCCAAATTGTATTCTCATGTCTCTGAAATTTTAAAAGCCAAGTCAAGAGACAAAGATTAGCTGCCAATTTCAGAAAAAAAAAAGAAAAAGGCAACTAGATAATTACTTGAGCACATATTATCATGATATAATTGGTTATCTTTTGGTATAAATGCATAGATACAAACCATTATCTTACAAAGAAATTTATAAGTAGGCAATTTGATAAGCATCTAAATCAAAATCCCACAATCCCCCAGTGGCCCTTGGAGCATGGAGGGCCAGAAACAACTATCACACTGATTTGCTGGCTTCAATGCCCTAGATAGAGTGCCATGACAAATATTATAAGAGCAATATACTCCTTTCCCTTCCAAGTGGGATCAAAAG